GTAGGGGTGCACGGACCCCCCAGCAAAGGTTCCACACAACAAGAGGTGTAACTTTATGTAATTGTAACAATAAACATAATAACAATAAAATAAAATATATAATGTATATTATTTATTACTAATACAATAATACATATATATTTAACCCACAACCACTGCTGCCACCCTGTTACACATACATCTCATTTAACAAGTAATGTTAACCATCCATACTGAGCACGGGTGGATGCTGTTAATTGCTTTACTCACCATTGGTCCTATAAAACAGTCCTGCATCATCTGGTGTCCTCACGGAGGTGGTGACATCATCAAGTACACTGATGTTCCCTTTGGACATTAATCGCGAGTCCATATATGTCCAGGAGACAGCACCGAGAGCTGCAGATTGGGTGTGTTGCTCTGATTCATCCTATAGAGTATCGAGCCACATTAGTTTCAGGTCTGGCACGAGTGCATGTCATCGTTATAAAGTGATCAGTTTATTGCTCAGTCAGTACAGGGGCCAGCGACATGTAGACAGGGGCGCTGGCCCCTGTAGGCCCCTGTGTAGGACCGCCACTGCTGTTGTGACTGTGCGATGACAACACTGATCTTTCTAATTGCCCCAGAAGCACACAACATAAAGGAAAACATGGCTGGCTGAGGACACAGTTGTGCGTCTGTGTGTGTGGGTCTTCTCCTGCCTGTTAGAACTAGACTACAGCTGTGACTGGATGTTGCACTGCGGCTCACTGCCATGACTGATTGGAGCTGAGTCAACCGAGACTCATGATACTCAATGAAGGAACGCATTATAAAAGAACAAAAGGAGTGTTCTATATGAGTAACCGGTCTTACTGTAAGAGTTTCATCAACCAGCGGATGTGAGCTGAGTCAAAGTGCTCTGAGTGAAAGTGCTTGACACATTAAGTCAAACCTTTATCTGCAAGAGATTTCCTGTGACTGCCTGTCAGTCGACCAGCTGCTGTGAGGAGGAGACAAAGCCTTCTGTATTTGTTGTCCTGTGTGTGTCACACAACTGATTATTAGTGTAGTAAAACAATAAAACTCAACTGCCATAATGAGACTGAACTTGTTTTGCATTGTGAGGAAGAATTTGAATTTGACAGGTCCAGGCACTGGTCACTTTTCATACATATTAGGCCGGAATCCAGCATTCGCACAAATGTTTCAAAGCTCAGTTGGTTTTCACAACTTATAAGGTTAAACATTTTAAACACGTTCTGAAGATTCTAAGCTCTCTACAGATATGTACCTATGATAGATCCTGCTTCATCATGCTGGGGAGGACAACCCCGACCTTCCTGTGTGGCAAGCTGTCACTTCTTTCTGCAGCTTGACGCATACATTCTCACATGTACAGACATGTCATGACAGTTAAATGTACCCAAATTAATACAACACACGAGAACAATTGTACTTCAAAGTTACAAAGAACAGCAGTGCTACATTATGTTAAATCACACGACGAAAACAGTGTCATGTTATGTAATTGTACTTTAGTAGCGGCTAAGATGTCTGGTCACTGCTGCTGTAATGTGACGGAGGAGTCTCCTTCCACTTTAAACAATTTGCTGCATTATAAGAACACATTGATGATAATTCTATGCTACATTAAAATATGCATTTAATGTACAAATAACTGCTCATTCATCTGTAGTCACATGAGTGTGCATTAGATCCACCCACACAAAGGAGAAAAATGTGATATAATGTCTTTAAGTGGAGCGACATGAGGCTTCTGTCTCTTAGCCTGAGGGCGGCCGTATTTATAGCATAACAAAGCCCGTGGTTCATAGACAAACAGTATGTTTTTCCTATGGGCATGTAAGTTCTCTCCAAGACCACGGACTTTAAGAACAAACTTACCTTAAATATTGTAGAACATACTGTTGTCCGTCTTGCAAGGTAAAGAGCATGAGATGAACAAAAGGCAAAGATCTGTTGTTATCTTGATACTGAGCAGGCAGAGTGCACAGATCAGTACGCAACATCAGTGATTTTACCAAAAGCATCTGTTTGCCAGTGGTCAAAGCACTGTTGATGGGAGCACAGGATTCATCCATCCATCCATTATCTATACACCACTTAATCCTCACTAGGGTCGCAGGGGGCTGGAGTCTATCCCAGCTGACTCAGGGCAAAGGCAGGGGACACCCTGGACAGGTCGCCAGTCTATCGCAGGGCACACAGGATTCAAAATGGGCTTAAAGGTGCCGTAAAGCTGCAAAATGCTGCTTAGTTTAGGAACAATTTCATCACCAATCATGACCCTCGATCGTTTGATCAATTGTGTATATTTAAAAAATTGACTTTTTTACAGGGCTGCAAGGTGGATCAGTGGTTAACACCATCGCCTCACAGCAAGAAGGTCACCGGTTCACATTCCAGTGAGGGCACCCAGGATCTTTCTGCGTGGAGTTTGCATGTTCTCCCCGTGCAGCGTGGGTTCTCTC